CCCCAAAACCCCAAAACCCCAAAACCCCAAAACCCCTTTATAAAATTAATAAGTTGAATTATTCATCTATTTAATATCATTTTCAATAGTATCTTTGAGGGTGACGCTTCCACCTTTTACTTGGCTGAAGTATTCTTCAAGTAAGACCCCGTCTCTGAAGAATTGCTTCTTTTTACTATCAACTAATGTGCTGAGTTCTTCCTTGATCAGCTTTATATTAGCTACAAATTCTATCTCGTGGAGATTTGCAAGTGTTGCGAGATCGTTTGAGAATAATGAATGAATTGTCTGGATGGTTTGCAGTAAGGAGGTAACTAAGTTCATTCCCTTCAAAGATTCGTTAGAATTGTCAACTGTTGCTGCAGTGACATCTAATATTGTTTGGAACTCTTCTAAATCGGTATCTGTGAATTCAGCCTTGCCCTTTTTGTTCAAAAGTTGAATTCATCCAACTGGTTTTCCCAAATCATCAATCAAGGGACCATAGAGAGCATTGTGTATTGTACCTGCTTCCATATAATTATCGATTTCAGAAATAAATCCCTGTCTTCCTTTGTCTCCTTTCTCTCCTTTCTCTTCTATTAGATTAGTTTTGTCCTTATCATATCTAATAACCTCTTTATTCATCATTCATATGCCAGTTAGGCCAACATTTGACGGATATCTGGCTACTTGAGTAATATAAGGAACTCCGCTTGAGTCTTTCTCCCATGTTGAGATGTTGTACATTGATTTATTTATCAGCAGGATCCGTCATAAACAGACCTGCTTTCTCGACATTCATGATCTTAGGTACATATTCAATAATCTTGTTATAAATGTTGACATGATTCCTTTCCATTGCAATCTGTCTGAAAGTCTTCAAGAGATGCATCACTCTTTCTTCTTTCCTGTTACAGTCTTGGGTATTCTGGACTCTCTGAATGCATGAACTCATCATTAAGCAAAGAGAATCGAGAATCTGGTTTTCTTTAATCTCAAATTTTGGAGAGTTCTTCTTGGTCCTCTCGACTTGGACAATAGCGTACATAGGATATTTACTAAGATGCCCATGCTTCTTAGTAGCTGAGAAGTCCTTTATAGGAGATATCATGTAGTTCTTGCCTTTTTGACCAATGAAAGCTTCTTCAAAAGTCCCTCAGTAAAAATTTCTAAAATTATCATTATCTTGAGTATGTTTGTTGCCGGTTCTGTTTTCCATAGCTCTGAAGATAGTGCATTCCTCCAGCTTTATCGGCTGGGTGTACCCCTTTTTCTCCTTGTTGAAAGCATCTGAGGTTAAAGGGGAATACTCACCTACTACAATGTTATTTGTGAGGATGACATTGACTTGATCCACATTGACCAATAGTCTGACCTTTTGTTTGAAGATGTCAATCATATTATTCAAATGTCTTGTCTTCGAGATCGCTGATAGACAGTTGTTGATCATATCCAGCTAAAAATATTTGAGATGGTATTACTTTGATACGATTAGACTTCTTGGCCTTTGCCTGCTTAATTAGCGAGATAGTCGAGCTGAGCCTGCTAGCATCATTTCCAGGAAGCATTGTCTTTTGATTAAACCCAGATGTTATGGACAAAGGTGCTTCAAACTGGACACTGCTTTCATCATCCAATATTGAAGAATCATCGTGATCATTCCCAACTAAATTTTAACAAGAGGTGACGTACTCATTGAATGAAGTCTTTGAATAGGTTTCCCTAATCTCTGCAAATTCTGAGATTTTAGAAGGCCATTTTCTTTATTTAGTGAGCTCGTTTACGATATTTCTGTATCGATTCAATACTTTGTTTAAATGCTGAACTTCTTTTTGCAGCTTCTCAATTATAATTGCTTGCTCAGTAATTTGCTTTTTATATTCTCCTTCTTTCTGGTTATTCTTGTCAATCTGCTTGTTTAGATCAGTAATGAAGACATCTTGATAAAAGGTATGCACATCTATATACTATTATAAAACTCCTCACCAGTAGAGAGAATGGAAGAATTGTCTTCCAATTTGAGTAACTTGCGATTATAATCTCTTAGATCTGTATTTTCTTGTTCAAGATCTTGAATTTTCTGAATAAATTTTTTGATTTTAGCATCAGAGTTTTTCCTCAACACTTGGTTTTCCAAATCTTTTCTCTTAACAGTTCTGGATGTATGATAGTCATTATCAACTTTCTGTTACTAAAATTATACTAAAACTATACCGATTGGGCCTGACTATCAACAGAAAATTTTCCAAAGTCAGACTTAATCTTGTCAAGCTCAATTTTCACGGGATCTTTGGCTCTATCATTGTCCAAATTCTTAGTATCGGTGATTGGTCTTGCAGGAATTTTATTAATTCTAGCCTTGTGCTATACTCTAATAATCCTTGCTTACAACATCAGTGAGTCTGTAATTGACTCTTCAGAAGCGGCCTTTGTTCTGTGTGCTCTTTGACCAAACTCGCAATGCTAAACAATCACTCTAGGATATACACTCATAATGATGAACTGACTGGTTGGCTCTTCTAGGAGGATTTCCTAGTCTATTATCTGCCTTAAAGTTGCTTACAACTAGGAATGACACAGGTGCCTTACAATCTATTTTATTCAGATGTGCAGACTTGTTAAAATTAGGAACCAGCACGCTCTGGTTCATCTTATATTTTTCAGCTAGAGGTTTAGCGATTAGCATACCTGATTTATTTCTAAAAGATTGGTTTTGGGAGATGCCAAGGTTAATTCCTTTATCCTTAAACCTACTGGGCAAAACTTTTGCCTCTTGTCCATCTTCTCTTAAGCTCTCACTACACCTATCCCAAACGTGAGCTTATCGAGTTAACCCGTACGAATAAAGCCAATAATCAGATCCAAAATTACAAAGATTTGCGCTTGTTCTTCCTTGTGGTGACTGCTTTTTGAAAAAGCTTCAACTTTTTATTCAACTTTTCGAACTCCATATAACTGTTTTCTATATTATTTTATTCGTAAGGGGTTTTGGGGTTTTGGGGTTTTGGGGTTTTGGGG